TATAATGTCACGTCTTTTTTTTTATAATGCTAATGTTGCTTTATTAAAAGTAACTGAAAAGTGACGATTCGTTACTTTTGGAGTAACTGTAACTGTAACATGTTACTTTTTGGAGTCGGTAACTTGTAACGGTAACTAACTTTTTGAGAAACAAAAACTGTAACTGTAACTAGTTATTTTTACAAAGTAACTTTCCCAACTTTGTATATATATATATATATATATATATATATATAAAACACATGTATGTGTTGATTATATATATAACTTTATGTGCAACTTAAATGGCCAATCTGAATCGAAAACAGATTTTTAAAAACTGGACATTTTGACAGAATGCCAAATCTATTGATAAAATATAACAAGTAGGCTCAGTACAGAAACTGAGCAGAATTTGTCAATTTTTGTATTTAATGTATTTCATTTAATTTGTTTACGAAATGACAGATTCTGTTTGATTTCTGTCGACGATCTGCTATTAGATTTCGGCAGGCTCTGTCGGCGAAACATGATGAGTTTTTAATAGACGTAAGTGATATTGGATCTTGCAGAATATCTAAGCCAATCTAAACGACATGAAGAAAATCGAGGTATAAGATGCTTTACAGACGCCTAAAGCCTAATCTACAATGCGCTCTTTGTGTACTGTTTCTTGCTATTTATCACTTTGTACCTTTTATTTTTTTTCTTTTCTATCATCTGAGACAAAAGTTGACACATATACATGTACATGAGATTAGTAGAAGAGACAAGAAACACAACTGTCGTTGAAATCGCGGTCGCAAAAAAGGAAGAAGGCAAGAGGTAAAGGCAAGAAGCACAGGAAGCAAAGATTACATTGTAGATCAGGCTTTAAAGATGTTTAAGGACATTTTTTTTGTGAGAGTCGTCTGAAAGATGTCTTATGTCCTGATTTTGAATTAATTGTAAGTGTTGTTTAGGAATCTGCTGCCTATGTCGTACTACAGGCAGTTTGCTTACTGAAAATTTTGTAATACTAGCTAACTGTACAGCTTCAGGCTATAAGTTTTTTTTTTTTTTTAAATAAAGTGTAATATACAGAAATTGCCCTGTTTATTTGCAGTTGCAATTTTTCTTGGAGCATGGAATTGCGCGTCGATACTTTTCGGTCAGGTTGATTGCTTAATTAGCGGTATGTGGCAAATGATAGCTGGTTTTCTGGTTGTAATAATCGAAGCGCCTTGCTGCTGTTTGTTCATCGACTTTGTACTGAATTTAAGCGATTGGGTGGAGAAGAAACCGTATTGGAATAGAGCGGCTGTATATTGTTTGTAAGTTTTATTTTATTTCTTCCATAGTTTATGAGATCATAGATAAGACCTATACTTTTCAGTCCTTGGCCATATTATTGGATACATCACACTTTTTACAATTTATTGACTTTCAAGGATCGAATTTATATTATATTATGACTCATTTATCATTGATTGAAATACGTAAAGAATAAGTGTCTGTAAATGGATGCATTTGTTTCGATTCACTTATCGCTTAGTACTCATGTGAAAGAACTGTTGTAGAGGCGACAGCAAGAAGAGCGTACTTACATGTTTCTTCTGTTATAAAAATTCCATTTTATTTATTGTTTCTTTAGCGAATCTATTATTAGACTCGCAATCAGTCAAGATGAATCTACCGAAAAATCCGCGCATTTAATAATATGGCCAGGAATTACATATATGTTACAACACATTAAATTATGTCATGTCTATTGATTTAGAATAGCATTACCAGCAGTCTTCCTATGTCCAGGAATGAGTAGTATATTTGGCAGTGGTTTAATATTTACAACGGGTATAATATATGGATTGATGTCTTTGGGCAAAAAGTAAGTATGATTTATTCGAAAATTTCATGAAATAGGATCTAATTGAAAAAATTGAATAAGCTTTATTGACTCAAAAGAAAAGAAGATATCTAAACCAATTAGAAGTGCAGAAATTTACAAGTACTCAATATAATTTATATTTAATTATTAACATAAATAATCTTTTGTCAACCAAAACCAATTTTATTTGATAGAAGAAAACTATCAAATTAAATTGATGCAAAAATGTGTCAAAACATTGCAATCTATATCGTTATTTCGCTCAATAAAACGTCTCTCAATATTGATTGTATTATTTTTTTAGTTTTTCAGTTATTTTGGTAATTGGTCTGCTTTTATGTAATTTCATTTAAATGCATATCAATTTAATAAAGAGTTTAGTCCAATTGTGATTTTATAGACAAAAAATCGCTTATATGTTCATAAATAGCAAGAAAAATTTACGTTATTTCTGTTTCATCTTATCGAGATTATGATTTAAAAAAAAAATGAGTGTTGTAAACCAATTACCTATTCATTTCATTTATTTCTTTTTTCGATTAACAGAATACTTGTTCATTTAATCTCACATCCAGATAATCGCTCTTAATTAATATAAAACTATGCAATGCTTTTTTTCCCTGTTTGTGCCTTTTCATATGTACGTTTTTTGCTTTGAGGTGGAAGAGCAATTTTTATATTGTGTTTGTATTTTTAGTGCTATCTTGCTTTGGTTTGTGAGAAAATATTTTTACAAGATAATTTTACGAAAAATTGTATTTTTCGTAATTATACAAAAAAAAATGTTAGAACTACCGGGAATATATTGAAGAGAACTTTATATTGGATGGAGGAGGGAACATGGCTTGGAAAAATAAAATTTTATTTGCTTTTTAGCTGTATAATGATTGTCACAAAATAACTCCATTGAGTTATTGAGTAATGTAAAACACGTGTTACGCGTGGCGTATAAAGTAACTTTATCTTGTTTTCAATATGATCTCTGCAAAGTGTTTACTAATATATAACATAATAACAGAGGATCCAGGCCCGACCCAGCGGGAATGACGTCGGGCGTGGGTTCCCCACAGGGTACAGTGCCTCCTACTACAGATCACCATACCACTCTCATGGAGGATCCTGATGTCTGGAGGCCTACATAAATCATCAAACATTCATTGCACCACTTCACTAACCAGGCAATAATACACAAGATTTTATATTACTACAAAATTTAAGTAAATTTAACGCTTTGTTACAAATGTCCATTCTTCTTCGACATACATTCTTTATCATTCTGTATATTTTTTATTGCACAGTTGCTCTGATACTGCTTTAAAGCTGAAATGAATTTAATTAAATATAAATTTTTTAATACAACTTGAAGGATAGTTGAATAATTTACACAAAATAACTTTCTTTAAATAACGAAATATTTATTGTAATAATTAGATTGTTTTTTAATCATACGAATTTTTTCTTCAAAAAATTTAGAAATATCAATTTAAATCTTGTTATTTATATATTTTGTTATTCAGGGCAACATTATTGACCTACTAATTACTTGCTTTTCAATTTTCTGTTATGATCATTTCATTATTTAAAATGTTATGTAAATTGCAATGTTTCTGCATTTATGTTTCTCGATTATTAATGCTGATTAATATAATTTATACATGTATTCTACATTTTATTAAGTTGCAATTTAACAATTTATTGTTAACATCGTTATTAGAAAAATTGTTATATAATAATTATAGCTACAATATAATTTCTGCTTTATTTATATAACTAATTTATTTATCTACATTAATTTGGTAGTTATTAACTGTAATTGTATTCTTTTGTGCATGCAGTTAAGCGGAAAGGAATTAATTTCAAAATGTAATGCGGATACATTATCTTAAGAATATTTAAAAAATTCCACAATAGTGATAAAATATAATTATCTTTTTTGTGTAAATAGTGACGAGCAGACGTGTGATCGATTCTATCATGGTTGCGGGGAGCGCGCTATCAACGCTATTGCGCCATTCTATCTTTGTTTTATATATAATGAATGATAAAGATAAAATGATGGTCGGGCTGATAATATGCTTTCCGAAACCAACCCATGCGGCCGTGCATAATATATTACACATATTCAACAACAAATTGACAAAAGCGAAATATCAAGCAATTGACAATTGATTTCTTTCCGTAATGTAACTATACCTAATTAATTAATTGAGAGTAATGCTGTAACTATACCTAATTAATTAAGAGTAATGCTGCTATGTTATGCTTTTGATGGCAAATGCGTATTAACATTATAAATTATGTAATACATTGTGACCTTAACGTCTGTGATGTCCCTATCATGATAAGTTATAAATGGGAAGTATTGGCGATAAGCTAAAAATAATAAATATAGACTCTCTTAATGTTCTGAGACTAAATGTTCTAGATAGATAGAAGAAAAGTGTTTCTGAAAGGATTAACATAATATTCATACTCCAGGGCACCTTTTGGCGAAATGAGAACAGCAGCAACGGATGTTCAAGCTCCATCATCGAGCATGCGGTCCACACTAGTTGAAAATACTCAGCCAATCGGTGTTAGCAGTACTCCAGCTAGTATTGTTTGATCATTAGGAATTAATTGGGTGAGCAATCTAATTTTGTTTTTTTTTTTGTTTTGTACGAATGATCGTAAGTGATATAATTAATCGTTTAAATGATCAGTAGCTTAAATAAGTAAATGAGCGTACACGCTTCGTTTTACCTCAGCTCCATCATTGATATAAATTTGTGATCGAAGTGTCCTACCAGTAGCTTCGCAAGACATTTATCACCCTTGGGACAAAGTTGAATACAAATTGTGTCGCAGATATATAAACGTGTTAGAATTTGAAAAATCTAGAAAGAAATTTCTTGGACTTTAACACTTAATGGAATTCTTCTATTTTTAATCTGTTCTTATTTGAACGTGCAAAATACACGGGTAAGAATTGTATATGCTTGTTACACTTTATGTTTGTATGAAATGTGTATGTAAAATGAAGTGGGATATATTACGAAGACAGTATAGAAAAAGGATTTGTTGCTTCATTTTAATAATGCCAAAGTCAAAGACTGTCATAGAAAATGATGTTGTTCTATGTGGGCCTAGCTATCCGTAGGCCCATTTGTCCATTGTATGTCATGAAATGTTAACAAAACGGAACAGTAGAAAATTGTAGATGATGCAATTTGTTTGAACGTATATAATATTAAAGCGATTTATTTTGCAAGCAAATTAGTTAAGTAACTCAACAAGTGGAAACTGAACAATACTTCCGCGATAGTTTCGCATTTCAATTGTAAAACGCATTGCTTTCAGAATATTATGTTAAGAATCGAGAAAAGTCATAATATATTAGTTTGATATTTCTTTTATGTATAAATAGATAAGCTTCTCTCTGCCAAAATAAACTGTACATGCATAAAATTTAAATGTGTTTTGAAACAGCGCTATTTGTACGGTATTATAATTTTTATTACAGTACTGTAAACTCGATTACTGTACAAAACATAATGATGAAGCCTTGAATACGTACGCAGAGTAAGTTAATTACGCCAACGTTTATATTTTCGCTTTTAATCTAAGAATTTGATAGATGAAATATTCAATTTAATTTTTCTTTACTGCATACGTATTAGAACGTATTTTATTTTATGCAGTTTAAAAAGTGTATTTTAATATAATGCATTTATATTAAAGAAAGCCCGTATGTATTGATAAGTTAACCAATTATCTTATCGTGCGATATGGCAGAGGGATATAATAATCTCTATTAGTGTTACGCGTCATGTATCAGACGAATTTTGTATACCTAATCACAAATATATTGCATACATACAGGTTGTGTCATTTCTATTGTATTTAATAAGAAAGTTGAGTTGAGAAAAAAAGTCGTTTTCTTTAAAAAAAAACAAAAAACAAGTAGGTTCTAAGAATAGCTATATAATTACGTGACACATATCTTGTATATATGCATATATTCTTTCCAGATGATTGCATTTCTAATAGTTCATTTCAAATGATTGAAAATATAAATTTTGTAAATATGATTTTAAACTAAATGAAAATGTTAGAGATTGTGAACTGGGCACTTAGGGCACTTAGTCGCATGTCCGATACTGTTCTGCTTATGTTCTGAATATGTTTTCTAAATTACTGACATTAGATGTGCCAAAAGTGCTCATTTATCATCAATAGTCATTCCGCATTAGCTAACATTTTTATTTGTAATATTTGTGCCGATATCATATACCTAAATTTTTTCGATATCGTATACATTTCTTTTGTATTCTAAATATTTGAATTTATATTACAAATGTTTTCTCCTTGTCCCATACATTCCTATATGTTACTTAATTTATTTAAGACAAAACCATGTAAGATGTTGTATTATCGTCTAGTTTTTACTTGATGAAATAATTTATATTTAGAAAAATGATTGCTCATAATAAAATAAATTCTTGTGATTGATGCAGTCATGTGTGGACGCAACCGAGAAATATCGATAACTCGAATGTATGTGTCTGCAGCGTGTGACATTTAATTATACAAGATATCCCACTTCTATAGAAGAAACTGTTAAAATGATAGGTCTTTTAAATAAATGAAGGACCTAATATTAACAATAAAATGTCAATAGCTTTTAAATTATAAGCAAATGAAATTAAATTTTTTCCTGATTAAGCTGTTGGAAAGATAAGGCAATTTTAGTCTTTATTTAATTTCAAGTAAATTCTCGTTAGAAAGAATTTGTCGATATTTGTTAAAGATTCTGTCATTATAATAATTTATCTCACAAAAGTGGAATATCCTGTGTATATGCTACGTATATAAATTTGCTGAGTATTTTTGACTTAAATTCTCAAGATTAATCAGCATATATTAGAATAATCTCTCTCGAATGTAATCCTCGCAATTAATGAATATAATATAGTGAAGAGTAAAAATATTTCAGCTCTGATGTAATGAGTCAAAATTTATCTTGCACTAAATTTTTTTTCTATAAGTCTTGCCTTCTCTTCCAGTAATTCGTCCGACAATTGACCGCTAAAGTAAAGAGAGAAAAAACTTGGTGCAAATGCAGTTTAACTACATTACATTCAAGCAGGATAAACTTTTTGCTCTCCATTATATATATAAAAATTGAAGGATATATGTGATTATTATTCTCTTAGTAATTCTGCAGTTGCTATATTTGCTGAGAAAAATTAATAATTATATTCTTTAAGTAAATATAGCTCATTTAAGATATAGAAAACAATGTTCTCTATGCGAGTAAAAATTTAAGATATTGCATAGTAATATGTATGTAATTATTATTTTAACTTTGATTTTTAACTGAATTTAAGCATTTATTATAAACGATTTTTTTCATATATAATTAAGCTTTATACAAAAAGCACTGAGAGAGAGAGAGAGAGAGAGAGAGAGAGAGAGAGAGAGAGAGGAAAGCAGGAAGCAGAGGGAAAAGAGAGAGATAGAGGTCATATATTGGAAATCTTTCTTTTACGAATGCACTTTTACACAAAGTGAAAATTTTTATTCCGTAGAGCATAAATTAAAAAAAAACGGAACTGTATTTAAATGTGTTTCATTTGCGAAAAATAAGATTAAAAAAAAATTTCTTCCGTGATCCGAAAATGACAAACATAAAATATAAAAAAATACCTACTCTTTTTTATCTCAAATAGTTTATTGAAGCTTAAAATCTTGATCGTTATGCAAGTGTACATAAAACACAATGATTATTTAGAAGCCATTGTTTATTCTAGTATTTTTGTTATAATTTTGCATTTTAATTTTATTAAAAATGTTTTTCCAACAAAATATTTGTCAATTTCTTTAAATAAAAATTAATTTTTGTTGAAAAATATCTTATTCTTTGATTCTATACTTCTGTCCTTTTATCCAGCGAGAAATGACTCCTCGAATTTAAAGTCATTAAGCCGGTATCAAACTACACATTAGCTTAATAGTTTAAGGCGGGAGCACAGACTTTTACGTAATGCATAAAGGTCCATCTACAATGAGAGTAGTAAGTTATAAACCGTAAGAAATTGATCAATCACAGTCGAATATGAGAAGAATAATCGACTGTGATTATTTAATTTCTTACGACTTACGACTTACTACTCTCATTGTAGATGGACCTTTATAGATTTTTTCAACGTTACTTAAATTTCAAGTTTTAAAATGGCGCTCTTAAGTCTCGATTGTGATTGGTCAATTTGCTTGCGGTTTACGTCTTACTTAAGTATTTTTGTGTGCCATGGCCTTAAGTCCCGGAATACAATAGATGTAGTAAGCCTTAAGCCGTAAGAAATGGACCAATCACAGTTGAATGTGAAGAGGATAATCGATTATAAATGGTCAATTTCATATGGCTAGGCTTACTACAACTATTGTGTTTCGGGACTAAAGGTCTATCTACAATGAGAGTAGTAAATCGTAAGCCGTAAAAATTGACCAATCAGTGGAATATAAGAAGAATACTCGACTGTGATTAGTTAATTTTATACGGTTTACGACTTACTACTCTCATTGTAGATTAAAAGATCAACCAATCAGTATGAAATAAAGGATTCTGATTGATTGATTTTCTTATGTCTTACGTCTTAGACCTGTTTCGTAGTGGGAGTATACATAGGCTGCGTTCCGTTTGGCGCTTACAGCTGCTTACAGCGCTCACAAAATCATTTCATCCTTGTTGTTTATCAAATATTAAACAAAGATAAATGATGCTTATAAGCGCTGTAAGCGCCAAAAGGAACGCAACCATAGTGTGCTCAGTTTGCTTTTTCTAATTCTTTGCCCTCTCGCTTGTTCTTTGACCGTTCAAAATACTGTTGGTCAATCTCAAAAAATAAAACATTTGACTCTGCAAAGTTGTTACGACTTAAATGGTTGTCTTCATTGCACGTCATTTATATTCTATCGGTCTCTTTTTATTTTATACTACAGTCAGGAATTAGAATCATGAATGTACTATACATACTTGAATCTATCGTATAACTTTGTTGCGTAGAGCTCTAAGGGCGAATTCACACCTTGACAGAAAAGCGAAAAACAGAAAAGCAGAAGCCAATCAAAACTCGCGTTGGTAGTTAATAGTTTTTGCTTTCTGCTTTTCTTGCTACCAGTGCGAGTTCTGATTGGCTTCTGCCAATTTTTCTGTTTTCCGCTTTTCTGTCAAGGTGTGAATTCGCCCTAAAAGGTCGTGCACGGCAATGCGAAAGACAGGTTCGGACAATCACCACATCCGCACGTCGCATAAACATATGCATGCGTTTTGGAGGCGAACAGAGGTATCGCACAAAGGGTTTTCGGCTCTTGGAATCTCAAGTGAGTAAATAAAAGGAATCGTCGCGACCACGTCGTGACGGTCATGTTATCGAGGAGCGCCAATAGGATTGACGATTAGTGAGAATCCAATGAGAAGCACGCGTTGAACGGAAAGCGTGCTTCTTATTGGTCTCTCTAGTTGGTAGTTTAATGTCCACTTTCCAGAGGCGCTGAAACCAGCTCAATTTCTATCGCAGCTAAATCGCGGGCATGACCGCTCTCAGGATCCTCTCTGCCATGATTGTCGAAAAACGCTCACTTCGATCGGGATCGTCAGACAGTACGTCAAGCGCTCTTGAATTGATTTTTCGTACGCTGTTAGCCTCCAAAACGCAACGTGCGCGTATCTAGCCGCGACCCAAGGCGTTCGGCTTTAAGCGTTGTCGCGGTTCACCCCGACTCGCACGAGAGGCGTAAAACCTCTATAGACAAAGTGTTCGCGACTCAGGGCATCGTTCAGCCCCTAGGCATTGTCGCGAAAGAAAGCGAATTATATATACGACAAACGATTAGACGTTACTTCGTAGTGTATCGGTGGCGCAGCTCAAAAATAAACTTTATACACGAAATCACGGTAAGTTCTGTTGAAAAAAGCCATGTGGATTTCCATGTGGAAATCTATATGGACTACCATGGTAATTTGGGCCAAAAATTCATGAATTTTCACATGGAATCCATATGGAATCCATATGTAATTTATGTGGAATTTATATAAAATTCATATGGAATCACGTATTACAGATTCTACAATAAGACTTATATTACAGATGTAGTATTGAGTATCAGTAACGTATCGTTTTATAATCATTACGGTAAAGATTAGTAATAATTCCGGTATAAGATAAAAAAAAATTTTATTTTATTTTATGATTACATATTATTTTTTGGAGTTTAATTTGTGTTTATTCTATTTTACATATTCTCTGTTTTATTAATTACAATTATGCAAGTTGTTATAATTTTTGAAAATGCATCGAGATTTGAACCTGAGATCCCTAGAATAGCAGACTAACACTAAGCTAATGATACTTAATTTGTACAAAGGATTTATTTTTTCCGGTATATATTCCTCTGCCACTGAGTATTCTCGCGCCTGAACAAATACTGAGAGCCAACAGTAATAGTTACGGAATCGCACATAAATAATGAAACTTCTCAATAATTATATATTTTTTCAGATAGTATAGCTTACAATTTTAGTTTTTAAATATTACTGTATTTTTCAGCAAACATTATTTTTTCAGTAAGCATCTACAAATTTAGATTAAAAATCGAGAATGAACGAAAATTCATAGATTATATTACTGTTTTTCGAGTCTCAGTGTATATGAAATCCACATGGAATCCATATGGAAATCCATGTCAAATCCGTGTGGAAATCCTCATAGAATCCATATGGAAATCCATGTGAAATCCATGTGGAAATCCACATAGAAATCTACATGGATTTTTTTAACATATGCATTGAAATATATATATATATATATGTAAATAATTTATAATTCATATATCATTAATATTTTAAATTTGCCAATATACGGTTTGTACATGTATTTTTTTATACATGAAAATTCAAATCAGTATAAATTATACAAATAGAAAATAAAGAATAATATTAAATTAATCAAAAGAATTGAAAAAATTATATATAAGATAATCATGCATAATCCATATATGAATTTTTCACATTTTTTATATAGATTTTCATATTTCATATATGAACTTTAATATAATGTACATACATGCAACTCCATATAAAAATCCATGTGGATAACTACCCACATGGATTTTTATATGGATTTTAATGACATGGTTGTCTGCATGGATTTCCCATATGGATTTTAACATGACATTATCCATATGGATTTTCATATGGATTTTTAACATAATATGGTTATCCACATGGATTTCCATGAATTTTTTCAACAGAAAGGATACCAGTTGCTTCCTTCCTGAACCACAA